CCCTTCATCCCTAATGGAAGCTGCTCCATACTTTCTCTCCTGCCTCAAGCCCCCAGCCCCTCCTCTCTCAGAAGGGGACTGAGCCTACTTTGCTGAGAAAAGGGAGTTTTCTCCTCTCCTCCTCTCTAGCCTCAAACCTGCCTGAACCCATCCCCTCCCAGGCCCCTTCCCTGCAGTTCCTAATGAAGGGGGGGCTTTCCCTTCACCAAGGCCAACCTCTCTCCTCCAGGGGCTTGTTCCCATTCCATGTCTCCTGGAATGTGTACCTTGGACCACGCCCCAGTCTTCAGTGTCTTAGCATCTGCTGCCTCATTCTCTGCTGTTTTATGAACACACCAGGTCTCTCTCCCCTGTCCTGCCTCTTCCTTAAGAGATTCTGATGTGCCTTCCAGCTATGCCCTGATGGCTGTTTTCCCTTTCTCAAGCAAACTCCTGGTAAAAGCCATCTACACTCAAACCTCTCTGGCCCCCTTCTTGCCCTTGGCCCCGGGCCACCACACCCTTCAATTGCAATGGCTCTTCCCCAAGGAGTCCATACTCTTTTCATTGGTGAGCCTGAGGGCCTTTTCTCAGTCCTCCTCCTCCTAGGCCTTTTTGCAGGCTGGGACACCTTCATCTTAAGATACTCTTTCCTTCCCTGGTATTCCTGAAGCTCCTGTATGATCTCTGGGCAGAGGACTGCCCAGTGCAGAGATCCAGCCCAGCCTGTCTGCTTACCTTTCCCCACACTACCCTCCCCCATTACTGCATCTCCAGTTTTCTATCAACTTATCTTATGCACATGCTGTCTGTCTCCCAATAGAAGCATGCTACTGGAAAGCCAGGAAGGTTTCCTTGTGGGTATTGAATCCCCGGGGTCTAGCCTTGTGCTTGGCATGCAATAGGTGCTTAATAAATGTTTGCTGAACACGCACATGAATAAACCCTATTCCCACATGACCAATTAACTGCCCATTGGACAATTCCAAGTGGCTGTCCTGTGGACATCTCAGACTGCACCCGTACAGAAGAGAATTCATTGCCTCCTCCTCTTACAGCCCACACGTCTGCTCCTACTAGCTAACATTTAAATAGTACTTGGTGTGTGCCAGGCACTGTGCTGACTGCTTTACAGCCACTGCCTCACTGGATCCTCACGTCATCCCTGCAAGGAAAGTGATGTTATTGTCCCTGGGGACAACTGAGACATCCGGGTCCAGTGGCAAGACGAAAGTCAGGATGACTGGCGATGGCCCAGGACGCCAAGATGACCTTGGCACCTTCTGCGTCTGACCAAGCCCTCAGCCCCACAGCGTCTGCTTCGAGACTGTTGGAACAAATTGTTCCCAGCCACCCACTGTGCTGGGGGACGTCCTCACACACCTGGGGACACCCCCACCTCATGACTGACTTGAGACCTGTTGGCTCCCCTCACCCTGGGTTAGCTGTGGTGAATGGACAGTGAACTGAACCCAGGACTGAGCTCACGGAAAGACTGAGCCAGGCTGCAGAGGGCTGGGCAGTGTTCCTAGCCACCCCCCCAACCTACATAAGGGCCTGTCTTTTGAACCCAGTGTCCCCCAGTTGTGTGGCCTTGGATCGAGGCACCCCGGCAGCTGGGAGAATTACAACTACTAGTGGCCCAGTGGACAACAGGAGGATGGATGGTGGGTGCAGGCCAGCGGTCACATATCACCAACTTCAGTGCGGGTGGGGCAGAGAAAATGAGGGTGCCCAGCACAGGGGGCAGGATTTTAAAGTCTAGAATGTTGGGAACAGAACTAGGAGGGACATGAAGATAAGCAAGGGGCCTGGGCCCTTCCCAAAATGGAGGCTCCAGAAGGAACCAAGAGCTGGTGCCCATGTATGTGCCCATACAGCGTTTGTGTGTGTGTGTGTGTGTGTGTGTGTATACGAGAGAGATGTGTGTATGTATGTGTGTGCACGCATGTGTGTATGTATGTGTGTGTTTGTGTCAGTGTGTGTATTTGTGTGTATGTTTGAGAGAGAGATGTGTGTGTGTACAAGAGAGATGTGTATATGTATGTGTGTGCACACATGTGTGTGTGTATGTGTTTGTGTCAGTGTGTATATTTGTGTGTATGCGTGAGAGAGAGATGTGTGTGTGTGTGTGTGTGTGTGTGTGTGTGTGTGTGTGTGACAAATTGGCTTTGCATCCCAGAAAGAAGACTAGGAATGTTTGGCAAAGCTTCATCTAACTAACTGACCAAGGATCCCAGGGATCGGGTGTCTCCTGGGTTCCATTAGACCAAAGGACAGAGCCGCCACAGCATGTAAACATCCTCAGAAAACCAAAATTCCTGATTCAAAGAAACCACAAGCACGTCAGAGGTTCTAAAAGCCTGGAACATCCAGAGGGTCAGAGCTGCATGAGCACATGCTGTTCCAGCCTCCTCCTCTGCCCCCACCTGGCTCACCCCCCTGGAAGCTGGACAGGAGGCCTGGTTCAAATCCAGGACAGGCAGCCTTCCCTCCCCTTCTGGTCCAGGATAAATGGGTATTATTATTTAGTAAGACTAATCTCACACTTTTTATAATATTTTGCCCCTTCACTAAGGGAAGCCTTGCATGTGTTATTATTCCAAAATATTCCCCATGGGGAAACTGAGGCCCAGAGAGTTGAAAGGATTTCCTCAGGCCCTTTAGAGTCAGGAAGCCTTCTGAAGGTTGGAATGGGCTTCGGCCTCCCTCTGGCTCCAGCTGACCCGCTCAGTAGCTCCCTAAGTAGAAGCTCCCCTGCCTAGCTTTACTGCCCTGCCCACCCAGCACCAACCCCTCTTTCCCTCCTCCCTGGACTTGCCTTTTCCAGGCAGCGAGTGTCTCACTGGGCCCTCCTCACGGTAGCTGCTCAAGGCCAGTGGCACCTGTCTTGGGGACCCCCAGCTTCAGTTCTTCAGAGATTCAGGGTAATCAGCCCCACTGTTATGGTTATCCTCTGGTAGATGAGTCCCCAAGTCTCCATGCCCATGTCCCGCTCTTACCTCTCTGCCTCCAATTACTTGGGAGAAGTCTCTACCAGGATGTCACAGAAGTCTCTCCCTCTCAGTGGATGCTAAGCAGGCTTCATTCACTTGGTTCCCAACCTGGCTCTCGCTGTCCTTTTTTTTTTTTTTGCCTTTTGGGTGAGGCAAAGGGGGTTAAGTGACTTGCCCAGGGTCACACAGCTAGTAAGTGTCAAGTGTCTGAGGTCACATTTGAACTCAGGTCCTCCTGACTCCAAGGCCGGAGCTCTATCCACTGTGCTACCTAGCTGCCCCTACCGACCTGGCTCTCTTGCACACTGTCCCATCGCTGTTCAGGGCACTGCCAGCGCTGCCCTTCCAGCCTCCAGGTTCAGAAGCGCAGCATTGTCCTCCCCCTTCCCCCCACTCCCAGATGACTCTGGAGCCCAACCTGATTGCTTCTCCCTCCAGGACATTTCAGGCATCCAAAGCCTTCTCCCCTCACAAAACCACCACCTTAGTTCAGTGACCCTCAGCAAGATTATGGCAGCAGCACCCTCTGAAGCCTGGACCTCCCTTCAGTCCTGTTGCCTCGCTGCTGCCAAAGCACAGATCTCATCCCGTCCCTCCCTCGCTCTCTCAATCCCTATGGCTCCCTATGGCCTCTCCCATCAGAGATGCATTCTGCTGTTTGGTCCGGAGAACCTTGCCCACCTGGACTCCAAGTCTGTTTCCCGCCTCACTGGCCTTTTCTCCCCCTCCCACACCCAGCCCAGAATGCCCTCTTTTCTGGGCTGTCCCCCACAGAAGCCTTCTCTTGCTTGCGGCTCAGGCGCCAGCTTCTGCAGAAAGTCCTTCCTGACCCTGACCCCCCCAGCAGCTGGTGCCCTCCTTCCCAGCGGCCGGATCTAGTTAGATACTTGCTCCTATTAGAATGAAAGTTCCGTGTGGGTAGGGATGTCACTGTTTGCCTTTGTGGTGCCATAGTGGGGCACACTGCCTGGCACATAGTAGGTGCTTAGTAAATGCTTAGGGGTGGATCTGTCTTGATCTGCCGTCTTCTTTACAGGTTTTATCTGAGCAGGTTCCCGCTCCTGCACATTTCTCCCCGCCCCTTCTCTCTCTCCACTCACCCCATGGCCACTGCAAACCTCTCCTAGTCCCTTGGGCTCCCCTACGTCCCCCACCCCCACCCCAGGGCCATCTTCCTTCCACAGCAGGGAGGCGCCTAGGACAGAGGGCTGCCCTGCCACTCCTCTGAGCCAAAGCTCTCCTGGCTGACCCTGCCTCTGTCATCAAGACAAACTCTACCTAATGTGGCATTCAAGGTCTGGCACCATCTCGCATCAGCATACATCACACCTCTGTTCGGTGCCAGGCCCTAGAGCTGAGCCTGCATGATTATTAGCTAACACGTATAGAGATCCTCCTGCGTGCCGGGCACTGGGCTCAGTGCTTCAGAAATGCGACCTCACAACACAGGAGGTACATGCTGTTATTATGCCCATTTTACAGCTAGGAAAACTCAGTATACAGAGGTTCAGTGACGTTTCCAAGGTCACACAGCCAGATGCAAAGATGAAAATAAACCAATCTCAGGCCTTCCAGGAGCTTACAGTCTCCCTGAGGAGACAATGGTCAGGCACCAAGGTAAGTAGATACAAAGTGGATACAAGAGATACAGAGTAGCCCTGGGACGCCCTTGAGCTAAGCTTTGAAGGTAGAGCCAAAGCCTTAAGGGTAGAGGTGAGGGGGTAGCCCAGCGAGTTCCTTTCCCTCTCTGTGCTGCCTCAGTCTCTCCCTCTGCAAAATGTGTCCTTTAAGCTCTGGACAAATGTGTCCTTATAAAAGAGAGACTCAGCTTGGAGACCCTGAAGAAGGTGGCAAAGGGTCCCAGTCCTTGCTTCCCTCCCGGGTTCCCCCCTAGGAGGATCAGCTGGCTGGCCCCGAGGCTGCACGCTCAGAGGCGTCGGAGCGCACTGGCTCTGGCAGCCCCGGGAGGCACAGGCCCCGCCCCTAGTCAGCTCCCTCAGCGCTAGGGACATGTGCATGCGCACAATGCGCCCAGAGAACCCCGGGGGTTGGGGAAGGAGAGAGCCCGGGGCCCAGCGCCCTCCGCGCGTGCGCAGCTCGGTGCAGGGCTGCGCCGGAAGTGCTTCTTTTCGGGCGCCGCGTGAGCCGGTGCGCGCCGGAAGTACGTGTCAGTGTGCCGGAAGTGCGTGTGCGCGGTGCGCCCCTGCGGACATGGCGGCGGAGACGCCTCGGACCCGGGCCGCCCCCGGGCCCCACAGGCTGCTGCTTTCGCTGCTGCTCCTCGCGGCCGCCGCCATGCCGCTGGGCCGGACCCAGGGAGACGAGTTCCGGCCCGGCCAGTGGGGGGCGGCGGCGGGGGGCGCGGCGGCTGCGGCGCGGGGGCGCAGGTGAGAGGGGCCTGGCCTCAGTGTCCCCGTCTGTCTGTCTCCCGCGCGTGGGTGGGGCTGGGCCTAGGATCCCCGTGGGGGGTGGGGGAGGCGGAGGGGCGGGGGAGAGGGCTGGTACCCTCACGAAAGGGGGGACACTGATTGGTTCCCTTTTACAGAGTGGGCATCTGAGGCCCACACAGGCCAAGTGACTTTCCCAGAGTCACACAGTGAAAGGCAATAAGCGTTGATTGAAAGGGAGTATCTGAGATCGAATCTGAACTCGGGGCCTCCAGCCCCAGCATCCCTTGCGCCTCCCCACCCCCCTGCCTCCCACCTTACCGAGGGTATTTACCGAGCCCCATTCCTGCTGCCCCCGGCACAGGCAGCAAGGTCAGGGCTGGAGTCGGGAAGCTCTGAGTTCAAATCCAGCCCGAGGGGCTCTGGGGAAGTCACTGAACTTGTGCTCCTCAGCTTCCTTGTCTCGGAAATGGGGGCGGTACGCGTGGTAGGGTCCTGCCCCCTCCCTCCCCGCTCGGGGTGCGGGGCTGCTGCTCCTGCCCCTCCCTCTCGGGCCCTCCTGCCCAGGCCTGACCCTCCTGGTCTCCCCCAGGTACCTCCTGTACGACGTGAATCCTCCCGAAGGCTTCAATCTCCGCCGGGACGTCTACATCCGTGTGGCGTCTCTCCTGAAGACTTTGCTGAAGACCGAGGAGTGGGCGCTGGTCCTCCCGCCCTGGGGCCGCCTCTATCACTGGCAGAGCCCCGACATCCACCAGGTCCGGATCCCGTGGGCCGAGTTTTTTGACCTTCCGAGTCTCAATAAAAACATACCTGTGATTGAGTATGAACAGTTCATTGCAGGTAAAGTACTCTGCCCTCCTGGCCTTGTCATCAGGGCAGACCCGGCAGGGCTTCGAATCCTCCCCCAGGGTCTTGTGGCTCTAAGCCCTCCCAGAGCCAGGTGTTGGCCCAGCGAACCCTGGGGAGGCAGGGCAGGCACCCCAGACACACAGCCCCTCCGGCCCGCCAGGAAAGGTGGGGGCCACTCCAGCGTCAGTCCAGCGGGGAGAGATGGGGCCGGGTCCTGTGACGGGGGATGCACAGATGCAGCGGGGGTGCTGACTGAGCACGAGGCAGCGTTGGTGAGAGGGAAGGTTTGCAGGGAGTGAAGTGAATGCATCTCAGACACAGGACAGAAGCAAACACCATTCTGGAGGAAAGAACTTGTGCAGTGCCTACTGTGTGCCTGGCACAGATACATAGAGGGACATGGGCCTTTACCTTCTAGTGGAGGGAGACAGTCTGGGAAGATAAATGAACACAGAGAAAACATAAGGAATAAATACTGTGGTTTGGGCTGGGAGCCTCATGGGGCGCTCGGTGCTAAGTCCGGGAGGAAGTAAGAAGCCAGAGGCAGGAAGACCCAAGTTCAAATCCAGCCTCAGACACATGAGCTGTGTGACCCTGGGCATGTCACATAGCCTCCTCAGAATGTCTGTAAAGACCTTCATGTGTTACCTGTGTCTGCTCGCTGTCAAGTGAGATTCTGAGAGGAGGGAAAAGGAGAAGGGGCCCCTTCTCCTTTGGGGAGCGCCCACTTGTGCTCTGCATGGACCCAACTCCTCCTCTTCCTCCCCCTTGTTTCTTCTGCCTCATTGTGTCACTTATTAACGGGGCAAGTCAGTTACCCTCTTCAGGCCTCAGTTTCCTCCTCTATAAAATGGAGGGGCTAGACTAGACAGTTTCTGAGGCCCTTGCATGGTGGCCTTTCGGGTATGGAAGCTCGCTGTGATGTCCTCCTAAAGTCTTCAAAAGGCATGAATGCAGGGCCCTTCACCATGCTGGTTACCCTCCTCTGGACTCTTGCCCACCCAGCCCACCTGGGCACATCGAGGTGCCCAGAGTTGAACCCTGTGTCCTCGATGTGCTTTGGGACAGAGTTCCAGGAGGAGTCTCGCACCCCTGCCCCAGGCCTGGACGCTGGGCTAAAGACGTCCCCCCTTTGGGGCTGTTGGGTCCCCTTGTGCCTCATGAGCTGGCTGCCCACAAAACCTCCCAGGCCTTTTGGAGGGAAGCGTCACTCCATAGCCACGTCTCTTGTCTTGTACGTGGAACATTGATTTTTTTTACCTGAGAGGAAGACTACATATATCACTCTGAAATTCCATCTTCGATTTGGCCCAGGGTTCCAGGCTGCCCAGATGTTTTTGGAGCCAGACTCTCTCTGCCCACTGGGCCAACTCCCTCTCCTGGCTTCATGCTGTCTGCACATTTGACAGACTTGCCGTTTTTCTGAAGTTATTGATACAGATGTTCAGTAGCACAGATTCCTGGGCACCTCACTAGCGCTCTTCTGGGCCGATGTCAGGTCTGGCAGTTCAGCCTGATTGTGTCCCCTTCTGGCCCCGGCTCTCCATCTGATCTGGGAGGTGAACTCGTCTGTTACATCCCACTACCCCCATCTGCTGATCCTGAGCTAGCCTCCCGCGGCCCCTTGTCCCGCCGCTGCCTCAGGCGCAGTAATTCCCAGATGCTTGTTTATTCCCTACTCCTTGGTGACAGAGTGACGCTTTCTAAAAATCACAGGCATCCACTGGCCTGCATTTTGCAAACTGCATTCTCTCCTGCCTTGGAAATAGCAACATTACCCTTCTGAGGTCATTGACTGAGGCCGGGGGACAGGGCGGATCTGGACTTGCTCAGGGCAGCTCAGTGTTAATAGGACTCGGGGCTTGGAGTCAGAAAGACCCATGTTCACATCTCTTCCTCACCCGGTTATTGGCTGTATGACCCTGTCTGCCTCAGTTTCTTCAACTGTAAAATGGTAGTTGGGCTATCTGTAAGCACACTGGATGCCTGCTTCCTCTTTACCCTTCTTTAGCATCCACCCTTGTCACCGTTTTTCTTCTGCCCCTTTTCAGCCCAAAGATCACTCTTTGGCAGAGAAAGCAGGAACACAGAGGAGTTCCACCCTCTGTCCATTGTCACCTTTGTCCTGTCCACCAGGCTGCCCTAGTAGATGTAGAAAAGCAAGTTTTGCCCAGAAGAGCCAGAACCCCTGTTTCTTTGCAGGCATCAGCCTGCTTCAGCCAAGCAGCAGGAGCAGAAGGAGGAAGACTGTGACAGAAGGAAGGAGGCTCTTTGAGGCCTCTGGTGGTGTGGAAAGCTTACACCCCCATCTGCAGCCAAGGCCCCAGGGATGGTTGTGCCCCCTTGAGGGCAGAGGAGACAGCAACAATAACCCGGGGTGAGGGTAGGGGGGATCGTAGATGGGGCAGATGAGGCAGAAGAAGGACTTGTGGCCACAGCTGGCTGGGGGCTCACGGGGACAATCGGTGTAGGCTTCCTCGTGCCACATTTGAAATATCTGATTTTTAAGTCTCGGATTTTTGAAGTCGTCTTGGGAGGCTTTTCCTGCCCAGTTTGGAGGCATTTTCTTCAGTGCCCTTTGGCCTGTTCAACTCAATGACATCGAGAAGCCACTTTTTTTTTGGAGGGGGGGCAGTTGGGGTTAAGTGACTTGCCCAGGTCACACAGCTAGTAAGTGTCAAGTGTTGGGTCTGAGGCCAGATTTGAACTCCAGTCCTCCTGACTTCAGGGCTGGTGCTCTATCCACTGCGCCACCTAGCTGCCCCTCAGAAGCCACTTTGCAGAGTTGATTATGCCCACACAAAAATGGGTGGCCTGTTGGGGAAATTCTCCTAGACTTACCCCACCTCCACAGGGAACAATGCACCCTTTCATATTGCATCTTCATGCCCATGCCGTGCTTTGTTTTCAGAGTCAGGCGGCCCCTTTATTGAGCAGGTGTATGTCCTGCAAAGTTATGCAGAAGGCTGGAAAGAGGGGACCTGGGAGGAGAAGATTGATGAGCGGCCATGCATCGATCAGCTCCTGTACTCCCGGGACAAACACGACTATTATCGGTAGGTGACGCGGCATGGCCCTGGCACCTTCCTCGGGTCTGCTGGTCAGCCTTAGGCCTGGCCTCTAAAAGCAACGTGGGCCAAGGAGCACCAATGCCGGGGAATGTTTAAACCTAGAAAAGGGAGTTGGTCCAAGTTGACATACATGTCCCGCTTAAATCTTTTAGAGGAGGGTTATTTTTCGTTCACATCACAGATTTTATCTATGGGCTCTCCTTGGCCTCAGATGGTTTTTACACATTCTGAAGTCCAAGACACTAATGCAGCACATCTCCAGGCAGGTGGGTAGCCCCCCATCCATGGGCCCTGGGAAGGCAGGAAATGTCCATTTGTAAATAGAATCTGCATTCTCACTCTCAAAGCCACTGGCCCTCCAGGCCTTCTGGAGGCAGGGGTCGTCAGGCAGAAGCTGCTGAGGACTGCTGGGGGCACTGGAGGTGGCCCCAAGTTCTGCAGTGTCCTGACTCGTCAGCGTTAGGTGATTTTTGGACATGTGGGTTTGACATGATACAGTTAATGCTGAAGCCTCGAAAATGAGCGAGTTCTATGCCACTGTCCATCCTCCTCTTCCCTTATTTTGGTAATACTCAGTCTCAGTGAATTCAACCTTCTAGCCAAGACTGAAAATGAATAGGAGAAGCCTATTGATCCAGCTCAGGTTTTCTGTTCCCAGTGATCTGAACAAATTGAGAAGAACCTTCCCAAACCGTGGCGTTCAGCTAGGCCCTGATTAGGGCCCACGATGGCCCCATGAAGCCATGAAAAAGATTAGGTTTTGTACTGTTGGAGTCATTGGGTCCAGCCCCCAGGAGCTATGGTGGGGGGATGGGAATAATGCACCTACTTCCCAGGATGCCGTGCTCCCATCCAAGGTCAATCACTGCAGCCCCTTGGCATGAAGAGGTGAGGCCTGGTCCCTCCCTTCAAGGAGTTCTGCAGTTCTCATAGGGGTGCAGGGGTTAGGATGTGAGTGTGCTGGTGTGTGCGCCATCCACGCCTCTGTCTGTTTTCCCTACAGAGGATGGTTCTGGGGCTACGAAGAAACAAGAGGTCTAAGGGTATCTTGTCTGTCCGTCCAAGGGTCTGCATCCATCGTCGCCCCGGTGCTTTTGAAGAACACATCAGCCCGGTAAGCCTCCTGGTCAGTCAGCCAGCATCTGCTGAACATCTGTGGTGGAGGAGTGGAAGTGTCTGCTTAGCATGTGCTGTGCGGCTGCCCTGAGGCCCCGCCCAGCTCCAGACCTCACACATCCTTGGCTCTTGAAGGTGCTGGGGGAGGAGAGGGAGGGTGGGAAGTCCACGGTGTGGTCCTTCCTTGCCTGTCTAGGGCCTCGAGATCTCCACACACAGAAGGAAGGCGAGTGGGCCAGGACAGACCTCACTGGGGATCGTATCGTTTGGGGCTCTTCTAAAGCACCACAGGGCTCCCCCAAGGCAGAGAGTGATGAGCTTGGTGGAGCAAGCGTGAGACATGGGCCACTCTGTGCAGAAGGGGCTGGGGGCACCGGAAGGAAGCACCAGGTGCCATCAGCGTGTTCTGCATCGTGTTTCCTTCAGCAGGGTCTAAGAGGGGTCAAGTGGAGGGGCAGGTCAGCTCAGGCTGTGGTTGGGGCCTGGCGGATGGCCTGGCATGGCTGCCCCGGGACCGGTGAGCCCTGCAGAGGCAGGTGGGGAGGCCCCGGGTGGCCCAGAGTGAGTAACAGTGTAGAAAGGGGAACTTTGTGCATGCTGGTTTTCCTGTCCCTTACTGAGCTGTGTTTGTTCCACCCATTTCTGTCTTGAGAAGGGTCTAGCCTGGGCTGTTTTCATCCATTTTTCATTGGGGCTCCGTGTGTGCAACCCTCTGCTCCGCCCTCCAGTGTCACAGGCTGACTGTTGAGCCTTGGACCCTGGGACCCCCTTGGGGACGATGAACTCCTTGAAGGGAGGGACCAGGCCTCCCTCCTGTGTGCCAAGGGTAGTGCTCTGTGGCAGTAGAGACGGGGTAATTACTCACTTTGAGGTCTTCGTTTAGTGATTTTAGAAGAGCGGATCTCTTCCTTTTCTCTAACCTTGGTATACCTTTCATTTCTCCTCTTCACAACTCTGACCTGCTGCTCCCAGGACAGGTGAATTCACAGCTCAGCTGCGGAGAAAGGCCCTTAGGGTCCTCTAGGCCACTTGTCCATCTGCTCAGTCTGGGAATGGAGACCCAGGCCAACGGGGTGACTTCTGCCTTAGTGGCGGGATGTGACGGAGATGAAGTTGTGAGGCTTCCTGGCCCTCCCTCTCTCCTTCACTGCGCCTTCCTGGGCCATGGGACTATCGAAAATGAGTGACAGCAGCTGCTGTGGGCCTGGGGTAGTGCCAGACAAGGCCTGTGTTCCAGGGACTGAGCAGAATCTTTCTGCCTTCCTTTGGGTACATTCTGCGTGTGATTTCCAAACTTACAGCATTCCCTGAGTTTGTCAGGACGCTTGAACTAAAAATGTCTCTGGTTCTTTGTTAAGCCTAGAACAGCTGGGGGCCCCCAAACCAGAGCCTCTGCAGGTCTCAGCATCTGTGTTCATATCGCCACGACAAGCCTGATTCCTGCACGTAAACAGTGCGCTTCGGTGAGCAAACGCGTGCTCATCGATGGCAATGCCCTGTGCTTTCGGCCCCTGTCTCTCAAGAGGAGGTGGCTTCTCTCCTGACCAGGTGATCCCCTCACATCCCGTCTCCTGTGTCATCCCCCCTTTCCCTTTTCTCCCATCTCTCCATCTCCACTGGCTCCCTCCCTCCTGCCTACAAACAGGCCCATGTCTCCCCCATCCTGAGCAAAGCCTCACTTCACCCTTCCGTCCCTGATAACTCTGGTCCCACAATCTCTTCTGCCCTTGTGGGGAAACTCCTCCAAAAGCCCGTCTACACCAGCTGCCTCCACTCTCTTTCCTCTCCCTTTCTTCTTAACCCCCTACCGTCTGGCTTCTGGCCCTTTATTCCTCTGCCCCCTGCAGAGTGACCAGTGATGTCTCAGTGGCCTTTCCTTGGTCCTCATTCTCCTGGAGCCCTCGGGAGCCCTGGACGCTGTGGGTCTCTCTCCTCCTGGTTCTTCTCGTCCCTCTAGGGTTTTGGGGACACTGCACTGTCTCTCTGGTTCCCCTGCTCTGCTGAGTCCTCCTCCGAGTCACACTCTCCAACCACGGGCGTCCCTCAGGTTCTGTCCTGGCCTCTCTGTGCTGCCTCACTCAGGGATCTCTGCAGGTCCAACCATGTCACCCCCTACTCACATAATAAGTCCAGGAATACAAGGGGCCTCCCTGGTGCTAGACATGTTAGGAGGTTGGATTGGAAGAGAGGGTTTCCCACGAGAACCACATTGTCCTGTGATGAACAGTGGAGGTCACTGGGGAGGTTGAGGTCATCCCTCCTTCCCTCTCTCTCTCCTTCTCCCCTCCCTCCCTTCCTCCTTCTCTCCATCCCTTCTCCTCCCTCCTTCCCTCCCTCCCTCCCTCTCTCCCTCCCTTCCCTCCTCCTCCCTCCCTCCTTCCCTTCTCTCCCTCTCTCCATCCTTCCTTCTCTCCCTCTCTCCATCCTTCCCTCCATCCTTCCCTCCCTCCCTCTCCCCATCCCTCCTCCCTTCCTCTCTCCTTATCCCTCCTTACCTTCCTCCCTTTTTCCTTCCGTCCCTCCCTTCCCTCCCTCCCTTCCTCCTTCCCGGCCTTTCTCCCTCCCTCCCTCTCTCCATCCTTCCTCCTTCCTTCTCTCCCTCTCTCCCTCCCTCTCTCCATCCTTCCCTCCTTCCCTCCCTTCCATCCCTCCCTCCCCGCCTCAGGGACCAGTGGAGGGGAGCATGCAGGAGCAGAGCAGAACACTTCTGGGATGGGCTTTGCCAGCCTTAAGGGGCTTTTTGATTCTGGGAGGAGATGGAGAGGCTGCAGCAGATTTCGGGAGGGGGTGAGGGCAAAACAAGCTTGAACAAAAAAGTGTGACTTTGATTATTTTGTAAATGAAGAAAATGTCATCTCTCTCTCTTCTGTCTCTTTTTTTAATCATCTTAAACTAGATCAGTGATGTTAGACAGAGCTGAAAACCTCCTTCACGACCACTATGGAGGGAAAGAATATTGGGACGTGAGTATCTCCTGGTCTGATGGACGGTTTGGTACAAACGGTTTATATTTCTGCTTTGTTTCTGAGCGGTGCCGGCACACCCCTCTTCAAGCCTAGCTATGGTCTATTTGTTATTTTGGCCTGGCGGTGAATAGATTGTAAACCTTGGCCTGAGAAAGCAGGAGGCAGAACTAATTCTTTCTGCATAAAGAATGAAAGAATCCCTTCTGCCGGCCTTTGGCAAGATCCTGGAGGCTCTGGAGGAAAGGAAGGTGCTGCAGCCCTGCCCTGAAGGCCATCCCCATGGCCGCTTCCTCGGGTCTGGAGCTGCAAGCACTCAGTGGCCGCCTTGTAGCCCTCATTTTACAGATGAGGAGACAGAGGCACATACTGGCACAGGGTCACCCAGGAAATGAGTAGCAGAAGTGAGTTCCGTACATTTGAATATTCTAGTCATGGAATCATCTTTGGAAAGAGGCAGGCTGTGGCTCGGGCGTCAGGCCCAAGTCCCTGTCTGCTAGAGCTGCACTAGGTAGGGATGCCTCCCCTTCACTAGCGAGCCTTTCAGCCGGCAGCGGGTTTCAGGCCTTCTTGCTTGGCTGCCCTCATGCCCCAACCCAGGGGTGTTTTGGGGGAGGCTCGCTTACCATGCTTCAGGAGCCTCCAGCTGACCTCTTGGTTGTGTTTTCATTGGGCCTGGCTCCCCATTGCGGCCAAGTCTCAGACAGAGGCAGGCCACAGGACACGTGGTGCTCCCTGTGGTGAGGCTGGCACACAGCCGCCAGGGTGGTCAGGCCGTGACCAGGATTGTGGCGGCCCCACACGGGCTGTTTTCATTGTCAGGTGGTGACTGCCTCACTGCCTGCTTTCCCAGGTGCCCTTCACTCCCACCCGGCTCTCCTGACTTAGCACCTGGGACAGCCCCAAGGCAGGTGACCGGAGCCCAGAGCCAGAGCTCTGAGCCGCAGGCCAGGGAGTGACTGAGGCCCAAGGCTACCGGATTAAGAGAGGCCCGTAAGCCAGATCCCCTCAGCAGCACCCTGACAAGGAGGCCTCCAGTCCCCACCCCAGGAGGTAGAGTACAGAGCAGGATCTCTGAGTTATGGGCCTGTCCTCCAGGCCCAGCTCAAGCCCTCTTATGGTGTAGATGGCTTTTTCCTTTGATTCTTGGAAGGCTGCTTTGTGCTTTAACGACTCAGGAGGAGGAATGGAGTTTTAGGAGAACATTTACTGTCTAAGTCACAGGAGTATGGAGAGTAACAGCGCATGGGTGCCATGACATCAGAAGGGCAGTGAGTGCCCAGAGTGTCCAGAGGCAGGCACTGGGGGGGACGGGCCTTGAGACCAGGCCGTAGGACAGTCAGGTAAAGGCCTGGGGAGGGGAAACCTGGAAGAGGGAAATGTACCTGGATGTGTCCTCGTCCTCATGGGGAATGGGCTGCATCCTCCCTGGAGCTCTGTGAGTGTCTTCTGCCATTTTTTGGCCACGTTACAGGGTGAATGGGACTAGAGCCACGGAAAAGAGATTCCTTTTGGTGTTTAGTGCAGGGGAAAATGAGTTTTCTGGTCATGCTGATGACAAAGTGCATACAGCTCCTGTGAGCCCTTGCCCTCTGTCCACTCCAGAGGCTTTTGCGGGGGGTCCCAAAGGCCAGGTGGGCCGTGGCTGGCTGCAGTCCTCCCAGAGTGACTGAGGCCTTGTTTATTCACTGTTGACTTGGCAACAAGCCAAGCTGAAAGGCTTCTTCCCCATACCTCGGGGCTTCCTGGCAGGAGCTATTGGGTCAGAATGACCAGAAGCCCCTCTTCTCCTCTTGTCTCTGAGCCCAGCAGAGGAGCCCAGGCCTGCTGGGCAGCTGGTTAGGCTTCCTCTTGTCCATCATTTGCTGCTGCCTGGTTAGCCTTGTTATGACCTTGGGCAAGTCCCCTGGCTCCTGCCTCCACCTCAGAGGCCTCCTCTGTAAGGTCAGGGTAAGAAGAGCTGCCCGCTGCCTCCCAGCTGTTTGAAGGACCCCAGGAGATGGTATGTCTACAGGCCTGTCCAGACCTCCACATGGCCCTTGGACGGGAGCCGCTCTCGTGCCAGTTTGCCAGGGTGAAAGACGCACTTGGGCCCTCCCCGACTCATAGAGAAGGGTTACATTAGCCACTTGGATGAGGAGGTAGGGAGAAAGAAAGAGGGAGAGAGAGAGGAGAGAGAGAGAGTGTAAGGCAGGAGAGGGAGAGAAAGGGAAAGAGACAGGGGAGGGAAGCTGGAGAAGGGAAGAGAGATGGAGGACAGAGAGGAAGGGGGGAGAGAGTCAGACACAAGCCTCTGAGCCTCAGTGTCTCTCTCTGTAAAATGAGGGCAGTAATGTCTTGCCTTTCTTTAGGGCACGGACCAGGCTTACTGATGGCTTGAGGTCCCTTCCACCCCAGGTGTGACCACAAAACTGCCTCCATGCACTGATGGCTGGCCTCTGATCTTTGCACGGGGGATGTGCCATGGTGGGTCCAGGACCAGCTGCCCCTTTGTGACTGCTGAGCACTCTCATAGTCATGGGAGAATTCTCAGGGAACCTGGAGCCCCAGCGTGTCTGTGGCACAGCAGCTAGAGCCTGTTCGGCAGGGCTCTGTGCCGAGTGATCTTCTGTGTGTGAGTGAGGCCCTCCCTTCTGAAAATGCTCGGTACCCACATGTGTTCTCCCTCCCTCCCTTCTCTCTCTCTTTCCTTCTCTCCCCTTCTCTCTTCCCTCTCTTCCTCCCTCTCTCTCCCTGTCCTTCCCTCTCTTCTTCCTCTTCTTCTTCTTCTCCTCCTCCTCCTCCTCTCTCCCTCTCTCCCCCTCCCTCCTGTCTCCCTCCTTCTCTCCTGTCCCTCCCTTTCTCCTCTCCCTCCCTTTCTCCTCTCTCTCTCCCTCCCTCTCTCTTCTCTCTCCCCCTCCCTCCCTCCCTCTCTCCCTCTCTCTTCTCTCTCTCCCTCCCTCTCTCCTCTCTCTCTCCCTCCCTCTCTCTCTCCTCTCCTTCTCCCTCTCCCTCTTCCTCCCTTCCTCCCCCCTCTCCTCCTTCTTCTCTCCCTCCAGTGGCTCTTGCCATGAACGTGGGTCTTGATTAGGCATTAGGAGTTTGTGGTCATGAGATAGGACACTGCAGCCTTCAGAGTTCTGGGCTGGGCTGGGAAGTACAAGGGCTCAGGATGCTTGAGGAATGGCCCAGGCTGGGAGCCAGGGGGGATGCCCAGGAGCAGCCGAAGGAGCTGCTGGGTCATCATCTCACTCTGCTCTGGGCTTCTTGGGCAGCTTTCCCGGTTCAGCTCAGGTTCAGCTCAGCAGCTCAGATGGCTCGGCTGTGAAGCAGTTCAGACAGAGATAAGCTACGTAGAGGTTCTGGAGGCAGTGGATAGGCTGGAGTAATTCTTACTAGGCTGTGGGGTCAGCTGCTGGACAGCATGTCCCAGAAGTCTTAGTGTTGCTGGAAGCTTTGCGTAGCTTCAGAAGTAGAAATGCTGCCGACTTATAAAAGACCGCATTTGAAAGGTCAGTTATTTGTGTTCATTTTATACTTCATAGTGAATTTGGAATAATAAATTGTTAGTTTTAACAAATAGATCAGGGCAGCTTGTCCAGCAAGCCTCAGACCGAGGGTTGGCAGGGCCTCTGGCATGGCCATCGTGGGCCCCTCATCTCCCCTGGGCCTCTCCTGGAAGGTCAGAGCTCCATTCTGTTAATGAGCAATCTTAGGGTGAGGAGCAGCTGAGGGAGGTTTTTACAAACTCTGAGAAGTGCCTGGAGTGGCATCAGGCACGAGATGGTGGTGGTGTGACATCGCACTGGGAAATGTGATGCTGTTTTTGACACGTCATTAGCCTTTTGGGGTTTTGGTAAGCTTGCAGTGGTCGCACTTGGAGGTTATTTAAGCTCCCGGCCTCAACGAGCTTTGGGGACGCCCCCATGATGGCAAGGCCTTTGCTCATCATTGTTTACATTTGACAGACCCGTCGGAGCATGGTGTTTGCCAAACACCTTCGTGTGGTGGGAGATGATTTCAGAAGCAAGTACTTGAACTCCACCAATGACGCAGACAAGATAGCTTACAGTGAAGACTGGACAAAGATGCAGGTCCTTTATGCCACTGGTTTCTCCTTCCCTTGAGGGTCCTGTACTGCTCCTCTGACTCCTCCCATGTGAAGCTGGGCCCAGCTTGGGCATTCCCTTTGTCCTCCAGCCATGGGGTGTCACCAAAGTTACACCTACATTAACTGCAGTGACCGCATGCTCCTCCCCAGGCCAGTGTCACAGACATGATGACTTTAGAGTCATTGCCCTCAAGGGCCTTCAAGGGGCCAGACCCTGCCCCCATGCCGTGCTTCTGACCGTAACAGAAGGCTTGGCATCGTCTTCTTGTGACAGCGATCTTGTAGATGTTGAATGTTGGCTCAGCTAGCAAAACTGGAAGACAGGTTCACTGCATGGGGTGGGTAGCACCTCCTGGAACATTTTCTATTTCACTGTCTCAGATTAAAATTGCTCTTTGTTAATTAATTACTAGGAGCTCTTTATGAATTGTCATTTCAGCCCAGCTCCTGGTTGGCAGAAGACAGGGACAGATTTAAATAAATAAATGAGAACCCGGTCCTCCCCTGAAATGTCCTCTCCTTAAATAAATGATTCTCTTGGCCAAATGCTCGAGTAGAGGTTCGGGCCCTTTGGATGTAGCTGAGCAGGGCTGAGCTTGTGCCCAAAAGAAGACTCCGAAATGTTGCTGTTGTATTCCACTCACAGCACGTGCTGGTTGTTCTCTGCTAGGTAAAGCTGGGCACCTCCCTAGGCGGTCCTTACCTCGGAGTACACCTCAGAAGGAAGGATTTTATCTGGGGTCACAGAGAAGACGTGCCCAGTCTGCATGGGGCAGTGAAGACCATCCGGAGCCTTATGGAGACCCACAAGCTGGACAGAGTGTTTGTAGCGACGGATGCAGTTAGAAAGGGTATGTTACACAGGGTAGTGAACCCCCCGGGGTCTCTCACCAGTCCTTGCTTTCAGTTGAGAGGAGACCCAGGCCATCCCTTAAAGACTAGAATCTTGTTTTACCAAACCTGCTGCCAGTGGAGGGAAGGCTGAGTTGGTCGGTTCATTTTCTAATGTTTCCTCACCTTGTCCCCCAAGCAGAAGACCCACAAATTGCGCTGGTCTTCATGGCCCTGGGCCCACTTCTTGGTGCCCTGTTTGTGTTTGGCCGAAGCCTCTGGCCTAGTGGCCCACAATGGGCCTTGTCCTAAGTCCAGGATCACGTTGTCTCCTTTCAGAATGTGAGGAGCTCAAGAGGCTGCTTCCTGAAATGGTGAGGTTTGAGCCCACCTGGGAGGAGCTGGAGCTCTACAAAGATGGCGGCATAGCCATCATTGACCAGTGGATATGTAGCCATGCCCGGTAAGTGCTCCTCTCGGTGGGACTTTTGTTGGCATGAGAGTCCCTCTCTCAGGTCCTACACGTTCTCACAGTCTGATGGTGCCTCTTGTGTATGACTTTGCCTGGGTCACAGAGATGGGGACTAAGGCAGAATAAGGAACCAAGTTTAGAGCTTTGTCTCACTGGCATTAGGGGAGGTTGGATGGAGGCAGATGAGGATCTTTCTGTCCCCTCTATTCTTCACCAGAGGGTGCCTCATCCCTGATCTTGGAGCTCATCTTATCTACTGCAGGGTTGCCCCATCCTCCTCCACAGAATCCAAAGCCCTGGCCCATGGCATCCCATTCTCAAGCTCATGTTTGCACTCACTACCCTCCCTCCTGTGCCACTTCCCCAGCCCTCTGAAGTTCCTGGAAGTCCCCTAACTGCTGACTCCCAAGGCCTTTTGTCAGCCCTCACCCGATGTGACCCCCTACAGCTTGCGGTACTTCCAGCCAGCCCTTTCCCCAATGCCTTCTCCCAGTTGGCTTTGCCTTTGGTCCCCCAGGTTCTCCACTCTGCCCTCTCTCAGATATTTCATCAGCTCCTGTGGCTCTCATTTCTCCTTAGTGCCTCCCCTAAGCTCAGGCCCTCATCTTTGACCACTTGCTCGTGTCTCCTCTTGGAACATGCTCTGGATTGAGAAGCAGCCTACCATGGTGCACAGAGCACTGTCTTTGGAGTCAAAAAGACTTAGATTCGAATCCTTTCTAAGACCCTAGCTCTGGGACCCTGAGCAAGGCACGTCACCTCTGTCTGCCTCAGTTTCTTATCTGTAAAATAGGGATGATAATAGCATTGGCCTCTCAGGGTTGTAGCTGCTGTTGCTGCTGATGTACAATGCCTCTCCACTGTAGCATCCCCTGAAGGGACCCTAACACTAACTCTAACCCCAAATGCCTCTGACTCTTTTTCTCCCCCCAGCCCCTCCTCCTGACTTGTTTCTTTTTTGGGAGTGGGGGGTGGAGTGAGGGTTTGAGGGACAGGAAGGAGACAGAATGACTCCACCGTTATAAACCTGGGTGTAGTCACCTAGTGAGGGATGATGGAGAGGGATGGAGGAAGGCAATCCTCTTTTTTCCGTAATTGTCTCTCTCCTCTTTTTTCCTAACTTCTCCCCCTTTTGCTTGTACTGCTGATTCTAAACTTTCTCCTCTCCATTCCTTCCTCAGAGCTATAGCTTCCCAAGGCACAGAGCTGACCCCAAACCAGGAGTGTCTCACTCCCCTTTGCCTCCTGGCCTTGAAGGCCCCCCACCTTCTGGCTCCTAGCTATTCTCAGACTTGGCGCTCCATCTTATGGCTCATGTCCAGGAAGCGCCTCCTCTCCTCCTTCTCTCAGGCGCCTCCTGGTCTTTCCCCAGCCCCTATATACTGGTGACCATAAGAAAACTTAGTGATTGTTGAATGATTGGATCAAATCTGCCACAAGGAGGGAGGGCGTGAGTGACCTGGAGCTGTGGCGCCAGAATAGGAAGAGGGGACCGAGGAGAGAGCTCTGGGTTTGTGGTAATTCCATGTGTGTGTGAAGGGATGTGAGTGTGTGCTTGTGTGTGTGTGTGCGGGGGGTGGTGTAGGGATGTGAGTGTATGTCTATGTGTGCCTGTGTGTGTGTGTGTAGGGGTATGAATATGTGTGCGTGCACACGTGTGAGTATATGGGTGTGTGCATGCATGCACGTGCACGTGTGTGTAGGAATGTGCATGTCTGTGCCTGCGTGTAGGAACGTGTGTGCATGTATGCATACGTGCGTGTGTGTGCGTGGGTGTGTGAGAAGCCTGTCGGGCAGCCTTCATAGCTGTGCCCTCGTCCCTCCGCAGATTCTTTATTGGCACCTCCGTGTCCACGTTCTCCTTTCGGATTCATGAAGAAAGAGAGATTCTGGGCCTAGACCCCAAAACGACTTATAACCGATTTTGTGGGGACCAGGAAAAGCAGTGTGAACAGCCCACCCACTGGAAGATCGCCTACTGAGGGAGTGCCCTTGCCGTGCTTAGCACCTGCACCCAGGCCCAGGAGCACCTTTTGTCTGTCGCAGCGCCCTCTGCCTGTGCCCTGAACGCTCATCAGGCCAGTCGATGGTGTGGACTGGCTCGAGAGGCCAGCCCCAGGGAGGGCAGACGCCACTGGAGAGGAGCCGCGGGGTTGGATGTAAATGGAATCACTGCTAGAAGGCCAGCTTTTCGTCCTGTGCTCGGCAGGGTGTGAGCTCTGGGCTCCACTCTCTCGAACTCTGTTTACAGCTTTTGTCCAGAGCAATCGATTTAAGGCCTGGTCAGAACATCTCAGGGAGAAGAGTCCTGATGTCCAAGGGGATGTGTTTCCTAGGACAGTTTGGGAGGGTTTTCACAAGCCTTTTGTCCAGTTTTGAAATCACAGTTTAATCCAGATTTCTGCCCCTCTCTAAAAGGCCTGGCCCTGAGGTCAGGCCAGCAGTGCACTTGTGGGCACCACAGAACTGACCAAAGAGTGTTTATTCTCCCCTGTAGTAAAGAAGACAAAAGTCAGGTAGGCCCCAGAACATCCTTGCTGGGCTTTGTGAGGGTGGGCGAAGGCTCCCTTGGTGGCTCCCCTGAGCAGCCACTCCGAGGGCAGCTTCTGAACCTTGGTGGTTCTGTTCTAATCAGGAGAGAGATGGCCCGGGGCCGGGTTTCCAAGTCGGATTTGTCCTGTCCAGGGAGAAGAGAGCTCCTTCTCTGAATTCCAGTGTCCTTCTGAGGAGCCAGTGCTGCTCATCACGGCCCAAGCCCACCCTCCAGCGCCTTCTTCTGCAGCTGTCTGATCCCACTCCAGACGTGGTGGGAAAGAGCCAAGGCCAAGGTGGGGGCTGTTACTTTTAACATTGTTTGAGCTGAACTTTTTCCCATCCTGGTCTCATTGCCTGTGATCCTAGTAGGTAGAATAGTACCCATCAACTTCAGAAGATTTACCTTAGACAAGATATTGGCAGATTCACTGGATTTTTTGGCTCTGTATTTTTTTAAAAAATCATTTTTCTACGTCTTTCCAACACTGCCCCCATTAGTAGTTCTACCAAAGAAAATATGGGGCTGTACCATGGGCTTGAGGTAGAGGGGCAGAAGGAGGGGCCTCGGCCCTACTCTGGAGGCCTGGGGTTCATCCCTTTCCTGGGACATACAATCCTCTCTCACAAAACCTCCCCCACTGGACAAATGCTTTAAAGATGACCTCTTGGTCGTGGTTCTTTGGAGGGCATGTATCATCAGAGAAGGGCAGATAAGCCCCGGAATCACTGCTCGCATGGACTTTCTGCTGCCCCATTTAATCAGTGCTATCAATAGTATATGGCTTCTGGCCCAACCCTGAGCAGGAGCACCTGGGCCCAGGTCCTAGGGACCCCTGTGACTGCGTCACTCAGGTGTGCGTCCTTCATTCAGCCCACTTCTTAAAGACCCTTCCCCTCCTGACTTCTAATGGAAGAAAGATGGTGCTCTCCTCCACACCCCAGGCCATGTGGAGCGCTAGCAGAGGATTTATTTTTTTTCACATGTAAAGTCAAGTATTATGAATAAAATGAAGTTTCCAGGAAGCTTGTGGCCTGCAGATGGTGCCTTTTTATACGTTGGACCTTTTTTTAGCCTAAGACCTATGCAGTAAGTTGTGGAATTCAGCTGTGTGCCTCCTATTTCTAAGGACAATAAAATGCTTTGTAGTATCTGGTGAGTGGCTTTATTCCCGTACCACACGGCTGGCTGGGTGGCAGGTAGATGGGTAGACAGATGGATCGATGGACAGGTGAATAGGTGGGTGAGTGGGTGGATGGATGGATGGATGAATGGGTTGGTGTGTGGATGGGTGGGTGGGTGGACCGATGGGTGGGGTGGATGGATGGGTGGATGGACGGGTGGATGGATGGATGGGTGGGTGGACGGACGGATGGATGGGTGGGTGGGTGGATGGATGGACAGGTGGATAGGTGGGTGAGTGGATGGATGGATGGATGGGCTGACTGACAGATCAACAGGCAATATTTCAACCAGAGGCTGCCAGCTTCACTTGACTTATATTCAAGAAAGGAAATAAGTATTTTATTAGGCACTTACTATGTGCCATGTACTGTGCCAGGCACTTTACAAATAACTCATTTCTTCCTCACAACAAAGAGAGGTGGGTACTATTATCATGTTACAGATGAGGAAACTAAGGTAGTCAGAGATGAAGTGACTTGCTCAGATTCCCACAGCTTCTAATTGTCTGAGGCAGGATTTGAACTGGGGTCCTCCTGTCACCAGGCTCCATGCTCTGTGCCCTGTTGTGCCCCTTAGCTGCCAAATAGTTTTGATCTGTTTGCTACAGAATTTGTTTCTAAGTTTCTGCCTTCCCTTTTTTGTGTAGGGTGGCAGTTTAAGGTCCATCTGTCCACACTGCTGGCTATTGTCAGACTCTCTATTGAAGACAAGCTCAAATTCACCCGAATTCTTGACTCCCCCTTCTGCAAGTTCAGTCTAGCCTAGACAAATCCAGCCCACGGGGGGCAGGCCCCTGGAGAGCATGAAGGCAAGGGGGGTGGTGTTTGTGCAAAGAGCTGTGGGAGCTGTGAGGGTTGTATCAGAAGGCAGAAGAGCTCTGCCCCTGGAGGCAGAGAATGGCCCATGGAGCCTGTGCCGGCCCAGTGGGCTGGTTCCTCCAGAAATCTGAAGCTAGCTCTGATGCTTAAAATACAACACACTGAGATGTCTAAGAGAGGGTTAGCCAACGGGTGCTCTCCGTCTTTGTGTCCTGCCTCTCAATGGGTCCATCTTCTCATCCCATCACACACTGGTGTGAGGACATCTCACACCCCGTTACTTTGTAGCTCCTCATTGTAAGCTGGCACCCATTGGCATGGGCCTGCCCGTTGCAGGATGTTCATCCTCAGCTCTTCTGCTTCTTTATAACAGAACCACCAGGTAGACTGTTGGTCTTAAAAAGAAGGGCCGATCAAGGGTAAGAAAGGAGCGTGGTCACAGATTCTGAGGGCTAGCGAACATCCCTAGAGGCCTCCAGTTGCACCTGCATCAGGCCAGGAAGCCACTTTCCAATTGATCAGCCCCCGACTCAGAGACCTTGAGCTCATTCCACTTGGGTCTGCTCATTGTTGGCAGTTTGTGCTGACATCCACCCTCATTCTGCCCAGTAGGGCCAAGCGACAAACTTGAGCACAGTCGTGTGCCCCAGGGTTCCCCCGGACTCCAAGATGGCAGCAGGATCCGCCCCGGGCCAGGGTCTCCTGGATGCCCCCATGAAAATAAGGCATAGACTCCTTAACCTCCAGTGGTAACAGGACAGCAAGGCCAGGTCAGTCTCCTTGGCCATGGTCTGTTTCTCACTGTGCAGCACATTAAGTCAGCCTGCTATCAGCATTGCCTCCCCGCCTGAAGCCACCTGTCTGCGCCTTTTGGAGCTGGGGTGGGGAGCGCTCCCAACAGGAAAGAGTGATCTAGCGGGAGCCTCCGCTCTGGGCATCATCTCTCCCCTGCTAGTGCGTCCGCATCCTTAGTCCATCACCTTGTCAATGCCGCCACCTGCTGGCCATTTTCTTTCCTGCAGGGTCCCTGGGGCAGCTCAGCCTGGCCTCTTTCAGTCTGCGTTGCTCCCAACGGGGCTGTGTTGGGCCCAGGCCAAAAAGTGAGGCCAAGCTGGCCCATTTGGAGGCCAGCCAGCAGCGGTCTGGCTCTAGCTGGGGAGTGAGATAGGCCTTTAATCCCCTCAGGCCCTTCCTCCTCCAAATGGCATAGCAACCCCTCCCACTTCCTTGGAAACTGCTCTTTGATGGGGGACATACGATTCCTCCCCCAGCGTCCACCCTTGTGGATGGTCATAGCCAGCCAGCCATCACCAGTCCAGCTTTCCAGTTCTATGGCAGAGCCTTGGAAAGCCAGTGCAGGATGGAGGAGAGGACCGTGGATACCTGGTGCTGGGAACATGCTCTGCCCATGCAGTTTCACTGATGGGGGGTTTGAGAGACTTGGTCACCTGGAGCTCAGGGGTCAGTGACTCACCCAGGACTGCAGAGCCACAAGATCACAGAGCCCAGGTTCTCCTGAACACCAACAGCCAGTGCTCCCTCCCCCAACACCAACAGCTCCCATTCCTGTGACCCTTAGGACCACCGTGAGGGAAGTGCACAGTCACTTGGCCTCTCGGGACCTCGGTTTCCCCACCTGAAAAAACACAGGGGCCTGCATGGATGAGGATTGGACTGGTAGCCATCAAGCCCCCGTGAGCGGCTCTGGCCTGCTTTGAGCACATGTTCCTGCAAGGCTAGCTCTTCAAGGGTGAGCCAGGAGCTTCAGGAGGGGGCCTGACATTTTCCCAGTGTATGGGAGGTAGCAAGGTGGTGCTCTCTTGGTTGTGGCCAGCTTCAGCCCCACTTCTGAGCTCCATACTGTGGATATGCCTGGCCTCTGGAGCCAATAGATGAGCATCCATTTGTTCCCAAAGAGGTTAGAAGCAAGGCCCTCACTCCTCTGTCCACCTGGGTATGTCCTGCAGTCCAACGATGGCTGAGCATAACCTCCTCATCCCCTCATGCCCATGAACCCAGTCACTCCCTGCCACTCTCTGGAAAACACCTTCCATTCAGGGCTCCTGAGGAAGCCTGCAACCATTAGCCCTGCTACTGCTCTGGGCCAGTCTGGCTGGGACCAAGATGGCACCAGCAGGGAAACCCCAGTAGAGGGTGGGCCGCTAAAGGCAGACAGGGTCTTCTCATCCTAGGATCAGGGTGGCCTGGATGGCACCAAATGGGGCTGAGGGGACAAGCCCTGAGAGAAGAGAGAGCTGCTGCTGCTGCTGCTGCTTCTCTCTCCCTCTCCCTCCCCCTCCCTCCATACCTCATGGTTTCATTCTGTCTTTGGCTGCCTTTCCTGACATTTATTTAAATTGTTTTGGACCATGGAGAAAGAAAGGAGAAGAGAGAGACGGAGAGACAGAAAAAGAGACAAAGAAAGAAGAGAGAGACAGAGAGAGAAAAGAGAAAGAGACAGAGAGAAGAGACAGAGAAAAGACACAAAAGAGAGAAAGAGACAGAGACAGAGAGAAAAGAGACAGAGACAGAAAAAGAAAAGAGATAAAGAGACAGAGAAAGGAGAGACAGAGAAAAGAGACAGAGAGAAAAAAGTGAGCATGTGCGCATTTTTATTGATTAGACCTTTGGGGTGCTTGGAGGTGTTTGTTTTGGATATGGGGGTGCAGATGAAGCTCAAAGGAAATGAAAGGCTTTCTTGGCACTGAGCTTCTGAAGGGCATCCGCAGGTCTCCTGGCCCGGCATCCTCACTTTCCAGAAACCAAGGCTTAGCGAGGGGAAGGACTCACCCAAGGTTCCCGGGGTGACGGTGGCTGGGCCGGGTCGGAAGCTGGATCCCCCGACTCCAAGCCTCGGGTTCTCCGTGTTCCGTTTCCTATGTAAGCGGCCCCTCCCCCGCTCCCCAGCCCATAGAACGCAAGCTCCCTGAGGCCAGGGACTGTTTCACTGCTGTCTTTGTATTCTCGGGGCTTAGCACAGAGCCTGGCGCACAAGTGGGTGCTTAATACATGTCTGAGGCATTGAACTGGATTTCTACTTGCCCCGACCCAAGGACCTTGGACGCCGTTTTGTTCAGCCGTAGTGTTCTTCTGGTGGAGGTGGCTTGGAGTGGGCAGCGACTTGTGATCCCCAGGCCCAGGGAAAGAAAGAGCGAAGCGGCTGGCAGAAAGCCTGTCTCTGCTCCGACTCTCCATGCCCATGAGGGAGTGACATGCAGGCCTGCTGGACAGCTCCGCGGCATCACTCTTGTTGGCGGCAGGGACGCAGGGCTGGGGGAGGGAGGGCACGGTCCATGGCCAGCCGTGCCGGCAGGTCCTGCTTTCTTCACACGTTAATGATGCTCTGAATCTGCCCCTGAAGACAGGGGGAGTAGGGATGTGGGCCCAGCCTTTCGCTCAGTTCTGAATGGCGCCTCACTTGTGGACATTGGAAGCCCCTAGACCCTCACACTAAACGCTCAGCTGAGTCGGCCCCCAACCTCATCTCCATTCAATTCAAACGTGTATTAAATGTGTACTACGTTCCAGGAACTGTGCTAAGCACTCGGGATACAAAGACAAAGAGAGAGAGCGAGAGAGAGAGAGAGAGAGACAGAGAGAGAGAGAGACAGAGAGACAGAGACAGAGAGACAGAGAGAGACAGAGAGAGGGAGGGAGGGAGGGGGAGAGAGAGAGAGACAGAGAGAGAGAGACAGAGACAGAGAGAGAGAGAGAGAGAGTCCCTGCCCTCACAGGGCTTATAATCCAGTGGGAGAGGAGGGCCATGGTGGAAGGCAAACACAGCTGCTGATGGAGAATGGAGTTGCCAGGAAGGTCTTGAGCCCTACAAAGGAAGGCTTGGGGGAAGGGGGCTTTAGTGCTCCTGTCTCATCTTCCAGTTCACGACTCTGGGGAATGGAGTCTGAGATTGGGAATTATCCTGACCTGGCAAGCAGGGGAAGGCCCAGGGACACTCAAAGAATTTTCTGGCTTATTGCTGTCCACCGAGACAGCCTGGATGCTTCCCTACTGTAGGAAAGTTGCCCACAAAAATGCGTTGTCCCCACTTCTCCACCAAGCAGAGCTTATGGAGCATGGCTGCACCATGCCATTCCACGAACCCGGCTGCCTGGTGGGGCTGCCCTCTGTGCTACGGCCACACTCCTCAG